AGTTGGGACAGTGTGCAAAATGTAAATAAAAACAGAATGCAATGTTGCGCACATCACTCGAACACTATATTAAGAATAATACAAAGACAGCATATCAAATGTTGAAACTGAGAAATTTTATAGTTTTTTTTAAATATTTGCCCATTTTGAACAAACATTCCAAAAAAATTAGGACAGGGGCAACAAAAGACTGGTAATGTTGTTAAATGCTATAAAACACCTGGTGGAACACCTCACAACTAATTAGGTTAATTGGCAACTGGTCAGTAATATGATTGGGTATAAATAGAGCATCTCAGAGAGGCTGAGTCTTTCAGAATGAAAGACGGGGAGGAGTTCATCACTGTGAAAGACTGTGTGGGCAAATAGTGCAACAATTCAAGATCAGCGTTTCTCAACGTAAAATAGCAAAGAACTCCTCAGTTCCCAAACGCTGACAGAGTATAGTTAAAAGAAGTAATGATGCAACACTGTAAACATGCCTCTGTCCCAACTTTTTTGAAATGTGTTGCTGGCATCAAATTCAAAATGGACATATAATTTTCATAAAGCAGGTGTCTGAAATTTTAATTATACCATGATATCATTTTTTGGCCATATAGTCTTATACAGACAGCTTGGAGTGCCATTAATGATATTCTGTGGGGTATTCTCATGTTTCACCGTTTCATTGTATTTGTTTGCTTTGTTCATAAATTGGGGAATTTAATGTAGTTGATAAAGTGATTGGCACGTCATCTTTTAACCTCTTCAACTCCTTGAGACCACCGGTGGTTCCAAAACGCACTTCGTCATATTCTTCATAACTTTCATATTTCATAAGCTACATTCAAAAGGTGGGTATCATATGAGAGCTGTAACTGTCTTCTTTCCAGTCAAATAGATGAGTAATGTAATTTTAAACCCTTATAATAGAAGAAGCTGAATTTTTTTTTGTCTACTGAAAGTCGACCCATTTTTCCACAAATCTGAGCTATAAACTATAAACAGATGGTGTCTCTTCAGTGATCTGCTCTGTACAAATTATTTTTATAAAATAATACAAAGAGCATCTAAGATTTTTGGCTTTCAGCAATAAATTGTAAGCATATAGCAATATGTGTATTTCATGCAGTTACTGAATAATTTGCCTTATGATTTGGTCATGTAAATTCAGATGGAAAAACCAAAATATACCCTGGAGAATAAGAGGTTAATTTCATTTTATGTTGATTTCCTTAGACTTCCAAAATCCATCATGATTTTGAGTGCGCCAAGCATAGAAACAGGAATGAAGGGCTGAAATTGAGTGCTTTGACTCTATTTGCCATCAGTACTTTGTTCCATGTATATATGTTGATTTATGCTGTGAAATTGGGCTCCCTGGAGTGTTCTACTACATCAGGGTAGTTTGCCACTGAAATGGAAGTTACGTAAGGTTCAAAATTCGCTAATAGCTGCAGGAAGAAAAGTGCTGCTTTTGTTCTTCTGTGCTTAAGATATTATGTGTAGCTCAACAAACAAATCTTTTATAAGATTGTTCTCCTCTTCAGCTCAGTGTTAAAAATACACTAGAGGTTCAATGCATTTTAAGAAAATAAAACTATAATGTACCACACACTACTTTTGATTTTTGAACAAATGCTCAAATTAAGTGATAAATACCCTTGAGTTTAAGCCCAGTTCAGACTTGATGGCCATGTATGCATACCAAGTCAAGTGATATGAAATGCTCCATCCTAGAAAAACTTACTGAGTTAGAATTTTTTAGAGTGGTGGTGATAGGAACCAGATATCTGAAGCATTTAATGCCCCCAAAAGCTACGGAACTGAAAGTTATTGCATGAAACAACTACAAATATGATGCCTGACATTGTTTTATTATGGTTTTCAAATGAGGTTTTGACTACATGCATGGTGCAGAGCTACATGCAGGATGTAAGGAAAATTGTACTGAATGAAATTTGATCCAAATTACTATAATTTTACCATCATCAACATTAAATATAAAACTCAGAGGACGTACAGGTTTACAGGTCATTTTGTATAGTGAATAAAATGTTTATACTTTGGTTTCACACATCACAACCCTGGTTCCTATTAGCACTATTGTAAAGAAAGCAGCATTGGTAAGTTTCTCTACAATGAACCGTCTCACGTTAAAACACTCTGAATGACTTTCTTTACATCTCAACAATTTGATTATGCAAAGATTTTGTAAAATCAGTGAAATCCCCTCTGAAATGTGGTCCTTTACAAGTTTAACATGAACTTGTTGTCATCACTGCTGTATTGAAGTGCTCAGGGCAAACTAAGATAAGATACACGATGATGCATTTCCAGAATAAAACAGTAACCTGCTGGGACCTCCGTTCCAACAAGTCCCAGCAGTGCCATACGCTCTCCACAAGAGTGCCGTTTGGTCACGCTCTGATTGGCAGGGTTCCCCTTTGCTCCATTGATATAAGTAATGTTCCAGCCAAGATTAGGCTTATGCCTCTTAGATGCTTCATTTACAAAGACAATGGGGGAGAATGTTTGGAAATGAAGCTTCTGAGAGGCATAGGACTCATCTTTGATAATCAGTGGCAATATAACAAAGCTGTTCTGAACAAAAGTGGCTTAATAGTTTCCGTGGCATGTCTTGGTACAACAAGCAAAGCAGCCTTACAACATAGCAGAGATGCAAAGTGGACAGTCCTGGATCCCAGTCTCAGAGTAAGACTCCTCTGAAGGCTAGAAACAGAAAGGAGTTTGTGCACAGGGCACAGGACAGAGAGAGAAGGCAGGGGAGATTTCAGGTTAGCAATGGTTTATCAGACATCTGTTGATGCAAGCTGCTCTACGTGCCTCAGATGCCAGTTCTTTGCTCCAAAACATGGCAAGAATGACCTTGCCAGTTCAGAATTATATATTAAAATGGCAATGATGAAAAAGATACTACAACAACAACAATACACTTTATTTATATAGCACCAAATACTGTAAATAAAGTAAAAAGACAATGCAATTAAACAAGAAGGGGAAATTTCATTATTTAACCTTTAAGTTGGCTTGACGTAGCTGTTGCTATAGGCTTGCATGGCTGTTGCTATGGTATCCCAGGTGGTTGCTAACGTGTGTGTGTGAATTTACAATATACACTCCCAAGCAACAGAAAAGTTAAGTTTTTATTTACATAGAAGCTGAAAGCGGAAACTGAAGTTTTTTTTATATGGTCCCATCAAAGTCAAGAACCAATGGGAAGCAAATGAAGAGATTTAAGGCCTGGTGTAATGTGATCACTCTTTGGGGTGCATGTGAAGTTTCTGGCTTCGACACTCTGAACTCTGCAAATTAGTGATAAAGGTCCTGGCATGGCCAGATAACAACTGAATGCTGAGTTATTTCATTCAGTACATTCTATACAATCATAACAAGACTATGACTGAGCAAAGTCGTTGCTGTATTTACAGTAGTACTACAGGTCAACATTCATATTGCTGTGCATTGTCCAGTATTATCTGTGATCGACTGTAATGAGTGTACAGTTCTTTGTGTTACTGTGTTCATTTTCTTAGCTTCAATGAATAACACAAGTGGACAAATAATGTATGTATACAATTACTGGCTTCAGAAACGTCCGAGAAGCATCACTTCCTGCAATTCCCTTTTCCATAACATGCCTTGCTGCTAGGGAAACCTAGTCGCCAAGTTGGTGGCTCTCCAGGAGTAGCCTGCGGAGCTTGGGTTTGCTTAATAAGCATAATGATAATGGTGCACTAAGCACACCACGGAAAAAACATAATGGGTTTGATTCCCAACAACATGCTCTACATGGAAGCCTAGCAATGCTCCAACTGTTTGCTTTTGAGTCCATTAACATTATCTAACACTAATGCATGACTTGTCCAAAGTGTAGTAACAGAGCGGTTTGATGTGAAATATTCTGTTCTAGAGAAAATAATCAAGTCAGAATTGTTCACAGCAGTTCTGATGGGAACCAAACATCTGAAAGTGTATTTTCCTCTGATTTACCGATTTACTCTGTTTTACTGATTTAATATTTAACCATTATTAACATTACATAAAAAGTTCAGAAGACACATGTAGGTGCACTAGTGGTTTGGGATAGTAAATATCTAAACTCCTATCACCATCACTGTAATAAAATTAGAGTGGGTACATTTCTCTAGAACTAAGCATTTTACATCAAATCGCTGTTTACATCTCAGCAATTGAGTTCTGCTTCAATGTTGAACAATTAGTGAAATTCACTTTAAATGATCAAGAAATGTTCTTAATTCATTTTGAAAGATGCCTCAAATATTTTTAGTTATTTGGAGTGTGTCTACACCCAGTAACAAACTGTAAAAAATTGTTATATATTGCTGTTGTCGGAAGAAAACCTTGTTCAATGTAAATCAATGGAAAAAGACTTTTTTTCCAAGTCATTTTAGGTCATTCTTTTAGTCCATTCATCATTAAATTTACATACAATGTAAAAGACAACAGGCATTTTCAAATTATGTCAAAAACTGAAAAATGTCAAAAATGGAGATACAAGGTTTTCCTCCGACAACATATATATATATATATATATATGCATATAAAGCATCACATAATTCACATTTATTTCATATATATATATATATATATATATATATATATATATATATATATATATATTACGTGTGTATAACTATATTATATATATAATATAGTTCTTCTTTTTGTATTAATATACCTGGCTATTTCTCACAATGACCCAGGAATAATTATTATGAGTGTATTTACCTGCTTGACGTTATTTATATCATAAAATTGAAAAACAGACGATCATGTTTAGAGCAAAAATGTCTATTTTTGAACATGCATTTGTACATGCATTTCAGCAGTGTTACTGATTTGCACTATCCTTTATTAAACTTACTGAGAATAACTGCTGTTGGAGAGTATGATTGGTTTTACAGTCCACTCCCCTGATGTAGATGCGCTTTCACCAGCTTCTTATCATTTCTTTCTCTTTTTTTCCCCAACAGACGTGAAAGCTGTATCGTCAAGCACGGGATAAAACACACTGTAGTGGACTGACACAGTTGGGACTACAGACAGACTACATGCACCATTCTCTCTAGCTTTAAGAAGGCCAGATATCAAACGTCATCATGAATTTTGTAATGAAGCAAGCACTGGGGGGTAAGTGTAAGACTTTACTGATATCGCCTTTGTAAATCACATGTATAGTGACATGAGCTTTTTGAGAGATTCAGCTTAAAAACGGCTTTGTTGTTTCTTTACAACCATACGGATTGCTAGGTATTCATTTGTTTAAGTAAAAGGCAACAAGCTATTTCCAGATCCTACCATACAGCAGAGAGGATAAGACCTTCAAAATGAACAGACAGATTCTTAGACCATGGTAACACTCAACCCTGTATATATTATTACTTTGGATAACATAGCATTACCAGTAAGTCTGTAATCTGTAAGACTGGGTACTGGGTATATTTCATATCTATGTGGATATAACCTATTTTGTATAAAATAAAACTTTGACAACCTAAAAAAGTTTTTCAAGTTTTTGTTTGATTTATAACATAAAAATGACCTTAAATATAAATTATTTTTGTAATTTTTCTCTAATTGTTAGAAGACAATCATAGCAAATTTATTACAAATATATTTATATATTTGTACTTATATAAAAATATATAAGTATTTATTTTGAGATATGTACTGTATTCAAAAATCAACAAGTTAGTTATCTATTTAAACTCTTAGGTTCGCTGGCTAAAGGCTCAATGTCAAGTAATCACATGAAAAACAAGGCAAATTGAGTTATTCCTGGACCTGCTGGCAGGTTCTGGCCATTGAAAGGATTGAAATAAAACCCTCTTAATATGAAATGTTTTGTGCCAATATCAAATGACCTGCATCACATGATGAAATGTCCCTAGAACATACTTGAAGTCATATGCTCTCTTTTCTTTCCAAATATTTGTTAAAAAGGTGAGTCTGGGTCAAGAATATAATTATTTAACGGTCACTGCTGTTACTCTACTATCATTGATTAAATATTTAATACAAGTGGTTGAATAAAACATTCTGTAATGTTTATGAAAATGCAATTCCAAAGATAGCATGTGCTAGTTTTAGGCTTTTAAGTGGAATATAGGCCCAAAATTTATCTGTGACCTGTCAACTGTGTTAGCCTGTGGCACTGTGGATTTTAAGGTATGTCCTTTTTTGCATGCTATTCAACATGTAATCTTTATCATTGTTTTGGTAAAATAGGATGTAAAAAGATGAAGGGGAATTCCACTGATGTGTTCCAGTTGTCAAATGTTCTGTACAGTTTAGTCATCGAGATGTAAATTAAGTCATTCAGAGTGGTTTGATGTGAAACATGTGGAGTGGAGAATTGTTCACAGTGGTGATCTTGGGAACCAGACGTCTCAAGAGCTCCCTCACAGAAAGTTATTACATAAAATGCTTATCACTACATTACCTAATGCATGAGACACTGTTTTACAGTCATTTTACTATAAGATTTTGGTCTGTTTTTTTAGAATATATGCATGGTATGTAGAGGTGCAAGCAGGGCATGTAAAATAGTCCCCAAAGAGAACAGTTTTTTTTTCAGATTAACCACTATTTTCCTTTATCAACATTACATATATGAACACTGAAGAAAAGTGTAGGTTCAGTGATCATTTTGGACAGAAAATAAATGCTCTATTTGTGTCACAGACCTTGCAGCCCCTGGTTCCTATGACCACCACTGTGATCAATTCTGACTCTCAAATTCCCCTTTAAGACAAGAAATCAAAGTAAACATTGAAGGAAAATGAATCAAGGATATATTAAACAGACATGGCGTGTACCCACAGAGGATGCTGACTGTTATATTGAATGTGCTTTAAACATGTTGTGGCTGCACGCACGTTTATGTATGTACTATAGATTTTGTGACTTTAGAGGACACGTTTTGGTCGAAGGTAAATGAGTCACTTAAATCAATTTTTCCATTTGGTTTCATCAGCTGAGTGACTAAAGATAATGTATTCCCCATCTTCCAATTCCCTCAAATGGGCCAGATCTGGCAGCTTCCTGAGAGCCATTCTGACGACATGATGACCTTTTATGTATTGCATCTTACAATGGAACAGATTCACTGGCTGCAGAACACACTAAGCATGAAGTATTGCCAAATTATCTGGCAATGTTTTAAACCTACAGTTAGCAAATTTGTTCTACAGGACTGTGTTGGAATACATTGCTTTTCAGCTCTCAGTCAGATTCAGGTCAAAGCACCAGCCCTATTGTGTTGATGGGTAAACTTCTATTCCAGTTTCAGTTCTATAGCAGAGGCCAGCATGCTTTCTTTGGGAAAATCATCTCTTCTATCCTCACTAGTGCCCTATTGACTTCTGAAGAGAAACACTATAAATGAATGCTGCCAAGCTTTACAGTAGCGATGGTTGTTATTTGGCAAGTCAGCTAAAAGCATTCAGAAACTAATTTAACAACACATTGCATTCAGATTCAAAATACAGCAAAAAGAAATGAGCAATTTTTGTTTTTAAACTTAAAGCCAATTTTAAAGAACCCATTGCATGGAAAACTGAAATTTCATAGCTTTTTGGAACAAAGATAAGTTGCATACACTGTGTACAAAAATATCCAGATACCCCTTCTAATTAGTAGATTCAGCTACTTTAAGGTGCACTCATTACTAACACAGGCATCCTATGGCACACAGGCAACTTCTATTATCTCCATAGCAAAGGACTGAGAGTAGAATGGGATGCTGGAGGACCCACATATGAGCCTAAGGCCAGACTCCTCTCCAGGGTGGTAGATCTCCAAGACCAGGCTTGAGCACCCCTACCGTCATGGTCACCATGTCCAATGCCAAGTGTCAGCTAGAGGGGTATAAAGCAGGGAAACTGCATTCTCTGGAGTGATGGAGCTCCATTTAATAACTTTGGGATGAGCTAGAGTGATGTTTGTAATCCAAAACTAATCAATCAACATCAGTGCCTGAACTCACTAATGCTCTTATGGCTGAATGCAATCAACTCCTCACAGCAATATTCCAACATCTAGTATAAAGTCTTCCTAGAAGAACAGAGACTGTGACTGCAGCGAAGGGGTAAAAACTCATTATTAATACCGTTTATTTTAGAATTTTTAGAAACATTGGATAAGCAGATGTCTACAAACTTTTGGACACTTATCTTTAAGATACAGTAACAAAAACAGGCTGTTTCATTCCCACATAAATGTCATCACTGGAACCCTTAAAGGAAAATGTGTTATACAGTCTCTTTAAATATTAAGAAAATAGGAATCATTTTTTAGCATTACATACATGCCTGCATTACTACATTACCACATACACAAGTCGACTGCACCCTGACAGGACAGTGCACTGTAAAATCTGACCTCAGAACTCACGCTGGACACTGGGCTCTTATAAAATCTGTAGCCTTTGTCACCGTGTTTGATGTGTTTCTTTGAGCAAATGTGTCTGCACTTCTGCTCACCTTAATGGTGGAGGAGCATGATTTATCCATGAAGGTCATTCATTATTCAAAACACTTCTTCTCATCAAACTTCCACATCCTTTACAAATTATTCAGGAGAATATAACATTTCAGCAGCTCCGTTGGAGTCACCAGCCCAGCCTTCTGCCCTCCTACTTGTTCAGCAGACTGGAAAAAACCCTAAATATGTGTGAAAGTGTTTAGTGAGACAGTCCTTACAAAGAGTAGGTTAAAAATAATACTGTATAGGCCGGTGGGCTACAAGTATGTACAGACAGGCTTTTTGATGTCTGTGATATATAGATATACAGCTAGTGATCAATAGAAATCTGGTAAAAATGTTTAATTTTATTTTTTGTTAAATGAAGTTACTATAAAAATTGCAAATATTAAGGTAAGACAAGTATGACAAGGTAACACATTCCTTACAGTGTCCTTGAAAACCCTGAGGCTGTAGCTTTAGCATTAGCTATAAAACAGTAGTCTTAAAGGGGCACTCTTGTCCAAATAAAAAATGCCCGCCTTTCTACCCATTACCCTTTTTGTTTCTTGCAGTGGTGCTGCAGTAGTATCTAAAGCATGAATTTCTGTTTTCCTGCTAACTAGCTAGTTCTTCAACTAAATTATTCCTTTAACAAAGAAAAAAAGTTTGACAATCAGCTGAGGTTAGTACATCACTAATCACTGTCACTGAGACTAGCTAGCACCACGGATGTGTTTATTAGCGTTTAGATCAGTGGCTATTAGTTAGGATTTGTTGAGCATCTTAGGTATACCCAGTGACTGTGCGATATATTCGCGTAATGCATGCTGGATATTGTAGTGAGACAACACTGAAGAAATCATGTAAATGATACAAAATTGTATATTCTGTCAAACCAATGGGGTTGAGTGATGCAATGCTGCGCTACCGAACATAACAAAGTGCATATTAAATGCAGTGTTCGGGCTGGAGTGCCTCTTTAAGCAGTAGTGCTAACAGTGTTTAACAGTTATGTCTAAAAATGAGTGGCACTCCACGACCAAAATGTGATGTCAGATAAAACTAGTAGATTTTTGGGTGCTAAATGTAGTCGGCCAGCCAGGACACGTTTAGTGTCTGAGATTTGCTTCTTTAGTTTTACACTGGAGCTACTTTTTGGTTAACATAACTAAATAGTAATGAAGTCTTTTTGGGTGGCATAGACTTCTACTATATTAGTCTGATCTCTCCACTGCAGAACCAAAGACGTCACTGAACGTGTATTGTCTGATTGACTGGTACTTGAGTGGTAGTGAGTAATAGTGCACATTGCAATAAAGGCATCAATACTATTTTTAATAAGAATGATATTAGAGTGGGGCTGCAGCTCAAAATTATTTCTGTAATCATTTAATCTATTGACTGTTGTTTGATTAATTGATTAATCAAACTATTATGTCTTCTTAAATACCTCTGCTTATTCAAATTCCATTTCTGTTGAGGAGAACTGCCACTCAGAATAGCTTACAGGCTTTTCAGGCGCTAGAGGGACGCTCCCAAGTGATTCCAAAATGAATGGGTTGTTATGGAGCTTTGTGCAAAGTTGTAGTTTGTAAGTGCTCAGTCATTTTTGTACATGAATTACTCTTGTTTTTGCAACACAAAATGACATAAATATTCAAACACCGCTTTTACAGTGCTTTATGTATGTTTATAACATCAGTAAGCATGAGCTGCTTTACTCAACCAGTCAATGCTCAGTAGCGGTAATGCTGGCATCCTAGTGCCCAAAACCTTTTGCGGTAGAAATTAAGAAAGATACTGGTAGATTTTTATTTCATATTCCTTTTCATTCCAACACAGCCTTTTCCTTTCTAAAATGTAAGAAAGTTTCAGCATAAATGGCCAAATATGTTTAATTTTTAGCCTTTAACCATTTAGCTCAGTTCACCTCCATCCTTTGAGGAATTGCTTGCAGGCACAGTATTTTGTAGTATGTTATTAGCATAATGGGAGGAATTGGAAGTAGCCAGACTCCCTGTTAACCCCTTCAATGGTCAGGGCCCACAGGCAGGCCCAAAGTTTTATTACACACTTCTGTGACCTAAGAATAACTCACCCAGTTTGCATTGATGTGCCTGTAGTTACTGAATAATAAGGCTTAGTATGTAATGAGCCTGGGATTTTAGGAGGTTAACTAGCTCTGGTTCCTTTATGCAATAAGTGTAGCAAAACAATAGACATCACACACAAAAAAATGTGTTTTTTTTTATTATTGTGGCTACACCGCTTCCCCAGATCTCTACAATTCAGGAGGGCGTTTCCTGCTTGCGGTTTAACCAGCAGGCTGAATCGTTCTTTTTATTGAAGTGCAAGACTTTCCCTGTAAATGGACACCAAACTTTCCCATTCATATTTCAATCAGTGACCGGTCTCCTCCTTTATAATGTCTTTGATACTATCAAAATGACTATGTGTCATATGATTCCGCAGCGTTATAAGCACAATGGTAAACATTGCTCATTATCAACATATTTGATTACTAATCAAAGTGGTCAAATACAACTCTACATTACAGATACTATGTCCCAGCTTTAAGGGGCAATAGACTACATGAATGTATAACTGCAACCTACACACAAAATCAACTGGTTGAACGCCAGATCTCGGTGATCTATTGAAGTAGATTACAGAAAAAAAGAAGCACCATAACCCTTACTGTATTGAAGTCTCTAACTTTTGTACAGATGCTGCAGTGGAGGTAGTAAGTGACCTATTTTATTAGTCTTTTATCAAAGAACACTAAGAACCTAATTAACATGTTAATTTAGGGAGCCCTGATGATTTGCATATCAACAAGAATTAGTTTTTTTTTTTTTGAGATATATGAATTTAGCTCCAACCACCACTGAATGATAAGTCACGGGATTTGGTCGCCCATCCATCACCACAGTCTGTTATTCCTGCAGTGCTTTGATGTAAAGCCATGCAGAATCTGATAGAGAAGGAAAGCTCTTCTTTTGTTATGTTAACTAATCTCAGTATGGCTTTAAAAATGACTGGAATAAATGAAATGGCCTACATATTTCCTGTATGCTTACTAGAAGTGATGTTATATTGTTGTTGAAGAACAATTTATATTGCAAATCTCTCCTAAAACAAGTGACACAGGATTTACTTGAAATTTGCAAATGAAAAGAGCCAGAATTAAATCTTGTCCAGGGACTATCCTTTGAGGCCCCAGACTGGTATATTACTGTACCTCACCATTCAACTGAGAATGAAGAGGCAGTATTAATGACCTTGAGTTCATGTGGACTGTCAAAAAAGCTCAGGCATACAAATCCAGTTAGCAGAAAGTGGACTGCTGAGCTGGCCAGTTAATTATCTATTAGGAACGCTGGGGGGAGTGGCCCAGGCCCAAGATTCTGAACGACCTTCACTACCTATCCTCTACAGGCTGTGGAGGTACCTGCAGTTAGACCTCAGCTGAGTGCTAATCTGTCAGCCCAAGGTGTCCCATGTACACATTTGCCAATTAAAGAGTCCACTGGCAGTCTTTTGCCCCTGAATGCCCTGGGAGGCATGTGGATGTAATTAAACTCAGGTGAAGACAGAGTATTACCATTCAGGATGGGTTTCAAATGTGTAGTGGCATGTAATATATACCCGTGTATAATAATAATGAATATTCAGATTAAAAAAAAACACTTTCTCCAGTTGCTTATAGAAATAATGGAACACAACAGTAATAATGCAGTAATTTAAAAACGAATGGCAAAGGCAATGACGGTAAAGTGCACTTGACTTGACTTCTTAACTGTCAAAGTGCACCTTTGCTAATTAGGTGTTGGTTGAAGAACTGGATTAGTGCTGTGCAACAGAGTTATCTTTTTGATTTCCAGTCAAAATGGCCATTAAATTAGCTATCCATTTTGAAGAGCCATAAAAAGCAGATTACATGCATTTACCAGAAAATCAAGGTTCAGCAACTAAATATAATGTCAGATTTAGTGTGTCTTCAGTTTGCCAAAGTAATCTGCACCACCACAGTTCAGTTTTAGTAGTTGGTTGAATTTTTATTTTCTTGTATAATCTCCACAGGGAAGTATTTTTAATAGAATTGTGCAGCTGCCAAGGTCTCATGCTAAGCCCCCCAGCATTGGACTGTAGAGCAGTGGAATTGCATTCTTTGGTGTGATCAAGCTCCATCCAATACCTCTGGGATGAGTTGGCGTGATCCAGAACTAATAACCCAACATTGATACCAGACCTCACTAATCCTCTTGTGGCTGAATGTAATCAAATCCTTACAGCAATGTTCCAATATCTAGTGTAAAGCCTTCCCAGAAGGGTAGAAACTGTTACTGCAGCAAAGGAGGGTAAACTCCTGATTAATACCCAAGATTACAGAAAAATGCACCAGCAAAACAGCTACATTTAGAAAAAGGTTATGAAAAACTATCTATGATATAAAATAATAAATGTTTCTGTTTCATTGTAAATAATATCCGATCAGATTTTTGTTACTGTGCAGTTACTACGCACTGGTTATCCATGTTTATAGGCTCTCTGTAAATTTGTCTTTTTTATGATCCATGTTTGGTGTTGTAGAAGTACTGATAAAAACTAATAAATATTTTATTGATTGATTGAAAAAAATAACAAATGGATCAGTATCCAATCAGATTCTTGTTACTGTGCAATTTTCCAATTTTTTGCACTAAGATAGTGTGATAACTATTGATCAGTGTTCAGTAGTGTTCAGTTATGTACAGTTTGAGAGACAGAGGACAAGGACCAGATCTAGAGGCACTGTCGAGTGAGACGGAGAACAAAACAAGACCGTACAGTCTTTTGATGACAAAATTACTTTGAAGAGTTGGTTTGACCATTCAACGTTATTATAAGAAAAGACGTGGGTGGATTCACAGAGGTGTAAAAGCAAATCTTCTTAAATGTGTCCTTTTTACTGAGCTATTTTTAGGTTGTAGAAGTATGTAATAAAACTTTGGGCCTGCCGGTAGGCCCTGGCCATTTAAGGGGTTAAACTAAATAACTGGCTAACAGAAATGTGGTATAATTTCTAATAATGTGTAAAATGTAACATGATATTGATAATCTACATGACAAATAACCTGTAGCCTACGTACAAACAGAATTAAGAAAATAATAAAGACTTTCTGAAGAGAATATATGGGAAAGTGTTTTTACAAGAACTTCATTTAAAAAAAAATCTTAGAAACTTTGTAGCATTTGTGTTAAGATCTTTTATAAGTGTTTTTTAAGCAAAGCTTTTGGCCCCAAGTTACTAGTTAAAAGGTTATTAAAGGGAACAGGCAAGAAAACACACCTGCTCCCAGATTTGATATCATAAATTTGCAACCAAATTTGCAAAAAGATTTCCTCCAATTTTGTGAATATCAGTTCTCATGGCTCTGTGGTAACTTTCTAGGACACAGAAAAAAATGCTCAAAACTTTAATATGAGGTACATTTTATTTTGCGCAAGTAATTTAGAGCCATTTCTGTTGTTCTGTTTGTCACATTTACATGATGTGAACAGCAGTTGCCATTTTTTGTTTTGTTGTGCTGTTTTCAATTTCTTAAAAAAAAAAAAGCACCTGATAATAAGCTGGCTTTTGACTTTCTCCTACAGGGGCCACCAAAGACATGGGAAAGATGTTAGGTGGGGAAGAGGAGAAAGATCCAGATGCCCAGAAAAAGGAAGAGGAGAGGCAAGAGGCACTGAGGCAACAAGAGGAGGAGAGGAAGGCCAAACACGCTCGCATGGAGGCTGAGAGGGAAAAGGTCAGACAGACCATTCGAGATAAGGTGAGCTTCCCCTGTTACCCACAAAGCCCTGCAAAATGATCATGCACCACACCCTCAAGCTGAAATGTTTATGATATTGTCGCCGTCTGAACAAAACACTGAATCTGAAAAAAAAAAACACTTTTTATGTGTACCTTAATGGCACAAGCTATTACTGTAAGTCATTTTGGGTGTTTTGGTCCATTTGTCATGAAATGCAAAAGTTTGAAGATCTTGGTCAAATTACATATTTTGTAGTGAACATGAATATATATGGTCTCTACAAGGAACCTAAAAATGACATTTTTTTCTGCACAATGTATATTTACTTGCTGAGTTTAACATATTGGAAAAATATAAAACATAGCATGTAAAACGTGCCATAACTTTTGCACAGGCCACATTTTATGTCCTTTGTAGAGGATGTGTTAACTTATTTTCACATAGAAAATTAACAAAACATGTAACTTGACTAGGGTGCCCCAACTTTTGCATACAGTATTGCATATATGAGGACCACATATTCACAAATCACTTGAGACTTTACCCTCCTCTATACTTCTGTTCAGATGGTACAGAGCCATCACGTTTGAGCTGATTAATACTGTCTATGGCTCATCAGTTAACATTACAGAACAATCTGGAGGTCATGATTAAGATTCATTTTAGGCACTTAATTGCAATTTTTGAGAAACTTTAAAAACATTTTATAATTAAAGAGATAGTTTGTCAAAATCTCATTTTCAAAGTGTCCTCCTTACTCCAAAGGTAGTCGATCAGACAAGTTTAGTTTCTAAAGTTTGCTTCTTTAGATTTGTACTAGTGTAGCTGGAAGTAATGGAAGCTAATAGCCAGCAGGTTAGCACTGTGGGAACATTAATGCCTAAATTATCACACACTTGCCTTAAACTGTGTCCAATCCTCAAATAATCTCAAATAGACTTGTTTATGTGCTTTTGCTACTGTATGACATGGAGAAATCTGTCATTTTTTTATAGATAACAGCATTTTATACAGTGTCATAAACCACATAAACATGGAGTTATGAAATATCTAAAGTTTGGAAAAAAGACCATGTCTGAAACTCGTCCTTCTTTTAATCTAATGTCCTATAAATTTCCATCTCTTTTGTTTTCCATGATGTCCCTCAGTACTGTCTTAATCCTACCTGTGTTCATCAAAGCTGGGGGGTCTGGCCTTCTAGCTTTAAGCAGAAGCCGGCCAGTATTGCAGCCCAAGTTCTCAGAGTTCTCTCTTCTGCTACAGTCATACAGTCTCTTCTTGGTCTGAACTAGCATGATCTGAAATAGCAAAATGTCTGTTTGAGATTATTTAAGGCAAGCTTGTTTTGAGTAAAGGGTGTGATGATTCAAGAGTTTTGTTTATTAGCTGAATTTTTGCATTGCTTGTTAGCTTCCATTACTCGTCTGCTACATTAGCCTCACAGCTCCAGTGCAATACTAAAGAAGCAAACCTGGGAGTATACAAAAGAGCCTGACTATCACATCTATATGAATGTGTTGGATATCCCATTGCAAAACCAGGGGCATTAATATGGAGTTAGACCCTCTCCTTGCTTCTATAACCATGTCTTTACAGAGCTCACTTTGTGCACAGCGGCACAGCCACGCTGGAATAGGAAAGGGCTTTTAACAAACTGTTGCCACAAAGCTGGAAGCATATAATTGTCTAAAATATCTTTGTATGCTGTAGCATTGCGCATAGTGGTCTTAGGCTTGAGTGCAGCTGCTTGACCACAAAAACCCATTTCATGAAGCACTCGATGTTCAGTTCTTATATTGATGTTGCTTCCAGAGGCAGTTTAGAACTCTGTAGTGGTGATGAAACAGAGGATAAGTGATATTAATGCGCTTTAGCACTCGGTAGCCCCGCTTTGTTGCTCTAAGCTGCTTCCATTTCACAATAATAGCATTTACAGTTGTCTGGGGCAGATCTAGCAAGACACGCATTTCACAAACTGACTTGTGGCACAGTTGGCATCCGATAACAGTGCTTTTAAAGTCACTGAGCTCTTCAGTACGACACATTCTACTGCCAGTGTTTGTCTGTTGAGATTGCTTAGCTTTGTACATCCGTTAGCAGTGAGTTGGGCCATTTTTTTTGGAGGTGTACCCACATACTTTTGGCCATACAGTGTATGTCACACTGCATAGTTCCAGACACATTTTCAAAGGTAGTGCTATACCCAAAAATCTGTAACCTATTAGTAACAGTGGTACCTGTTAGCATGGAATGAGAGTTGAGTTTGTACTTGCTGATGTCAAATCAAGGGATATACATGAATATTTCAAAGAAATATTTCATATTTTTGTTGTTATTTACAATGTTGTACACTCACTTTACAAAGCAATTCTATGAACACATGCAAACATTGCTCCTTGAATAGCTCTTTTTGCTTGTGGTGTGAATCCCCTGTGTTCTGTAGTATGGACTGAAGAAGAAAGAGGAGAAGGAGGCTGAGGAGAAAGCAGCTATGGAGCAAGCCTGTGAGGGCTCACTGACCCGCCCTAAAAAGGCCATCCCTGCAGGGTGCGGGGACGATGACGACGAGGACGAGGAGAGCATTTTAGACACCGTTCTCAAATTCCTGCCTGGACCTCTGCAGGACATGTTTAAAAAGTAATGGACACAAGACTTTGTCCTGGGGATGGTGGGCATTTTTTTTCATGGGGTCGGAGGGGAAGAGAATAGTTGTAATTTGGGAGTAGGGATTGCGGGTATTTTGCCAAACTGTGGAAGGCTTCTTCACTGCCTTGACAAAGTCTTAGCTTTTCTTTCTACGGATGAAAACAGTTCATACCCCTACAAGGTTTGGTCTTTTCACTGCCATTCAGGTTCAAATTGTTTACACTTTAGAGGTCTTTCTATTAGTTCAAGTTAACTTATATGCACAACCATGGCCTCATACTTTTTTGTGGGCGAATTGTGGGCTGTCAGTATTCAGTGGTCAGGCCCTAATAATAAAGGGAACAATGTCAAGGTATACATTCCATACGGTTGACACTATCGAAGTCTGGCACTGGGATAAGGTTTGTGTTTAGATTGGTCTTTTTTCTCAACCTCTGACACTTGACAAGTTCAGTGAGGGCAATTTACAACAGCAATTTTAGCATGCTGCCTTCCATTGACTTCCTACTCATGGAAGTGTTTTGGTTTCTTTTCTGTTTTTTCTGAAAAAAAAGGACTGCAAATGTCTCTCTGTGGGATGCAAGAGGTCAAGTTCTGTCTTGTTTTGAATAGAGTGGTGAAAAGCCCCTACAAAACAGTGACTTATTTGGGTTTGTTGTTGTCGTAGATTATATGATGATGCACTGCTCATAATAGTCCCAAGAGATAAGATGATTGTCTGAGTTGTTATGCCATTCCAGACGACCTGAATGCTAAAACTGTATGCAGTCTGACAGTTCTCATTTCTTTGTGATACTCTTATTGTATACTCTTCTTCCCTTTTTTAAAATAATTGTCTTTTAATTTGTTATTGCGCATGAGAGAATATGATCGTACTTTGCATTAGTCCTGCCAGCAAAAAAATTTTAGGAGAGTATAGTGTCTGAGTTTGCATTGGGTTAAAAACACTGCCACATTTGACCTAACAAATGATTTATAGCGCCAAATAGTTTCTACGAAGGTAATTTTCTCAAAATGCTTAAAAATATAGTATATATCTATTACACATGCATTGGTCATCCAGATTGATGCACTGAAGGGAGGTAGATTTTCAGAAAATAAGCAGTTGATTTGTTCGAAGCTGGTAACCTTTCCCCAAAGACAATCAACGCTAATCACTGCTGGAGGAGAAACTCCTCAAACTTGCCTACAGTTTATAATCATATATGAAGAAAATAATGGGACCAATGACCAAACACACTGCAGTTCTTTCTGCAGTAATGGCTGTTCAACAGTGTTAGTCTGTTACCTCCAAATAGATCCGTAATAGGTTTCTAATGTACCCATTTTCAAGAAAAGGCTCTTTGCAAGTGCCTTTGCAGGTGCCACTGCTTTGCTGTGTAAAATGTCTTTCCTGTTTTTTTTCTATCTCAGATCTTTGCCCACGCTTTTTTCTGAAGCATTGACCAGGCTCAAATTTCCTGACAGTTGATAACAGTTGATAACAGATATTGGGTTTCGGTTTGCATCAAGAAACCAACAGACCAAAGAGAGAGCGATAAAATCTGATATGATTTGAACATAAGGTTTTCAGGACTAGTTTTGCTGTTTGCTGTGACCAGAGAACTGACAGCAAGCTGCAAGTAGAGATAGCATTTCACAATCTAGCTCCTCAACATCAGGATCATATCTTGATTTTTATGAATAGTATATTTGGCACTTTGTTATAAGGTCTAATTTTAATCAGTTGTTTTTTGTTTTTATATTTTTTATTTACTAAAGGATCTACAACAGCTGACCTATCCACACATAACCATTTTGTATAATAGTACTGGGTACCACTTTATTTGAAGGCTACTCACATCATAGGGACTACATAACTCATGCATAAGCACTGAATAAAGTTTATGAAACAAGATTTGAGTTTAAATGACCAGCTTATGCTAGTAACTGCAAGATGACATAAGATGTCCTGTTAAGTAAATGATCACATTGTATTGGGCCTTAATTGTGATTGACATTTGTTCCATTTATGACACTATTATGAAGCATCATTCCCAAGTAGTAAAACTTATAAGGAAGATCTAACTTACTTATGTAGGTGTCGTGCAGCCTAATGACGACTGACCTTCAGTAAAGTGTTACTCAGTTTTCCCATTCAAAGTCTGAGTATCTCTTCCTTCAACTACTGTTTATTTCTACCATAGAAGCTGACTTAATTTGAAGTATGGTAAAAGTCTTCGGTTAAAAAGCTGGCCTAGTTTGATGAATGTGGCTGGAAGCGTATCAAAGTCTGAAACCTTTTACTTTACTATTTATTTTGAGTTCAAACTGATAATAAATAAAATCCTTTTTGGGAGGTTATATTTACTTGTTAAGTATAAAAAATAATACTCATCAGGTCAAGAAATCGTGGGTTTAGTAATGCATGATGGATATTATATACACCCTTTATCGATAGGTAACAAAGACAGTAGATATTTTTAGCAATTATGTAGGTGTAAAAAAATGAAGAAAAAAGTGAATTTTTGAACATTTGATGCAACACAATTGACATAAATTCCTTTATGACCGTTAAATTGGCTTATTAAGCATCAAAATACATTAAAAGTGAATATAAAACATTAGAAATAGCTTTAGGTCAAATACGCCAGGTGAGTTTTCTATTTCTAATAGGACGATAGTAAACGATGTAAACTTTTTTTCTAGTGCTGAAAGTTTTTTCACTAGTTAAAGCCATATTGTTTAGACTGCAATAATTAATGAAAATAATATATAGGTAATTCACCTTTTAGTCATGCATTTGTTTCCTGTAAAGATGTAGAGGTTCGTGGATCCTATCTACCTAGCTTATGTGTCTTTATTCTCTTCCATTATATATGTGAACCTGTGTATATACTTAGGTATATATGCAAACATTTCTATAAAGAAAACATGCGAAAAAGCCATTGTTGACGTCTTCTGTATGTACTACGAGTTCTGTGTGTAGGTGTGTCTACGTCTGTGCTCGTTTGTAATGTAAAACATGTCGTTAGTTCATGTACTATGTTGATGCTGTGGCTGTTTCATAATGTTCTAATGTGCACAACTCGAAGTCTCATCGTCTCGGGGTCAGTGCGGTCTGGCTGGGGAGGCTCCTAACGTCTGACATGCATGCAGTCTAATACCAAAACGCTATGTACTAGGTTCTGTGCTGTTTACGTGTCATTGTCCCTGCAACAGAAGCTGCTCATTTGGTCAATTAAAGGTCAGTTTCAGTAGTTATGAATGAATTGGTCCCTGCGTTAAGGCCACTGCCTATATTCCAGTACTATAATTAAGATTGCATAGCTCTGAACAGCAGGGCGTGTGGACTTCTGGAACAAAAATCAGGTGTTCTTGAATTAAAACGTCTAAATCTACATTTTTTTCAAGCTTCATGGTCATAGATGATCACGTTTTATATTTGTAAAGTACATTTTGTAGATTTCACATTTGGAAATGAAATTTTTAGTCGTTCAGGCTGCAACATGAGTCGTACATCTCTTCTAGGCTTTACATTCCGATTGAAATGACAGAATTACAGGAGCACACTGAATATTTCAATACACCTCACACTGTCAGATCTAACGCCTTTGTGACGTCTTTACATATTAATCATGTTTGCGAATGGCATTCCTATTCTGTGTGAAGCTAACATTACTTACTAATCAACCGAAGGGCTGTGTTGATCTGTCTTTGCTTCTGACTTCAAGGATCCGATATTCACAGCAACTTTCTGAAGATTTATTCAAAATTTCTGAAGACTGATATTTTAAACTGTTGATGTATTGGTTATGTAGGACTGAGTGGGCATGATTCTTCCTCTATTAAAACATTTGGCCTCTAAAACCTGTTGATTTGTGCTAGCTTTTGCATTATTTTGCATGGAGTAACAGCCGCTTTAATATGAATATTCACCAGTGAAGACACTCCAGCTCAGATATCTCTACTAGCCATCATTATTTTTATCACATGTAGACTTAACATAACATCGCTTCAAATGCAGGCCTTACATGTTACATGTAGCAAACTACAATGCATTCAAAACACTATACAGTGCAGTGCAAAAGTCAGAGACCACCTTTTTTTTCACCATTTATTTTCACTCAAAATGGCCATTAAGTTAAGCTTTTATTCTTTTCACGAGAGTCACTTCAGTCAGAAATCTGCAGGGATATTTTTAAACGCCTCCAAAGTTCAGTCTTAGAAGTCGGTTGCATTTTCTGCTTCTTACATTCCAAGTAATCCCAAACACACTCAGTGATGTTGAGGTCTGGACTCTTTTGTCGATTTGCTGGTGACAGTTGTGTTGGTCTGCCAGGTCCATTTTCTCTTTGTTATTTAATAATTTTTTTAAGTCCACTTTTTTCTTTTGTCCCTTTATTTCTATATTAATTAATTAATTATTATTTATATTTTACATAATCCCCTTAGAAATATCAGTTGAAATAAGAATAGCTTGTGCTTAATGGAACGTAAATAAATGAAGGGTGGTCTCTTCACAGTACTGGATGTGGCAATGATGTTTGCTCTTTCATTGACTGTTCAATGCCAAATATCGTTCATTAGCCCATCTGCCCACATTGAAATGCATTAGTGTCTGTCGGCTGTCCTCTTTGTCATGTTCCAAGGCAAACACCATAGGATCTTCCTGTGCTAAGGGCTATTATCAGCACATTTCCACAGGGGGAAATATTCCATTGCCACGGCACCATGGTGTTCTGATGTTACTATCGTTAACTACTTCATTTTGCAGAGGAGAATTAGACTGAGTGCGCAGGAAGGGAGGGGCTGAAATATTTGTCTCAATTTTTTGACTGTGCATTTTCTCCCACATTACAATAAATAATTCTCTAATTCGTTTTTCGATACACACTATGTAAACCTAAAACATTTGTTTGAATGAATCAGCTGTTTTCATCTATTTGCATAACACCAGTGTTTATTATCATCTGCACAAAGGAGCTGAAGCTTGTGGCCCAAAAAAGCTAATAAATTACAGATTAACAGAAATGTCAGTTGGGACGGATTAAGGAGACAATTTAACTTCAGGCCATAGCTGGTCTTTTTCTAACTGCTGTTCTCCGTACACGCACAAAGGCACCGTGTTTCTGACATTTGAGCACTGCTCAACATGCCTTTCAGCATAGACACATTACACAACCTCAGCATCCACACTCTTCAGGTCAGCCGAATACTTTCAGATCTCTTCATGTGAATGTTGGTACACAACTACACTGCAACAATGTTGTCTTATAATGAGAACTCATCTTAAATCTAGTGAATATTTCTAATATATTTCATCATAAGATTTTCTAAGAACATTACAAGATTGTTACTTTATTCTTTACCAAGGATTATTTTGTAGTGCTTATAACATTGTATATATCACTCTATTGCAATGGTAAACATTAAAGATTGTATATATAATGTTTGTGGGAGTCCTTTTGGGTTATGTTGCCTTAAGATAACATTGTGCAACAATGGAAAGAAAAGTGAGTTTCAAATGAAAAACATGATTTTTTAATCTAAATATTTGAAACAAAACTGATTATGTATACAATTTCTTTTTCCAATTTCCTGCACATCATTGCTAAAACATAAAAAGAGATTTTCAAGTCATTACTACACTGATGACAATAGTAGAACATACTGCTACATGATGATTGGGCTTTAAGTCACTAATATTGCATACACATTCAATACTAAATACATTAGATTTCCTAAATAAACAAAAACATAAAAATAATCACAAAATTTAAAAATCATTATAAATGAAAACTCTCTTAAGTGACGGCATGTGTGACACTTCACTTGCTTCTTACTGTATTATTTCCTCTGTCACACACTGTTGCTTCTAGACAACTTTTAAGCAGTTTAACAATTTCTCATAATATAAAAATTATTTATAAGACTCCAAATGATAAGAGTATGAACTCCAGCAGATGTGAATCATGTATTTGGATCAATTAAAAATTGCTTTTCTGTGGAAGATTATCTGGTGTAAAAATGTGTACATTCCACAAGCTTCATGTTTTAAAAATGTCCATAAGGAGATAATGTGACAAAGTGCAAGCTTTTTATTAATCTATTCACACTCCTCCCTAATTATTAACAAGTTCATGGCAATGAATTATTTATCATGTTATTGAAAAAGGAAGAAAGAAAAGAGAAAAGAGGTTTGTTACCCTGAGGCAACATTGTGCAATAGAGGGATATATAGCAATGTCTAGCACTAGTTACCTGTTAGGAAAGTAATACTCTTACAACAATCTCACCATCTCATTTTAGTTACACTGACTTGATTTAAGATGACTTTACTTGTCTACATAGCATTTTTTACAGTGTTCTGAGAGAATACACTGAATTCTCTCAGTAGCTCTAGCTATGTTGTTGACAATGATTTCTGGCAGTACAGAAATGAAGTGAAGTTCAAACGTTGGATATTTGAATCAGTTTCTGTTGCCAGGGACCTATAAATTCAATCAGGGAAATAATTTTATTTCTCACTGCATTTCTGATAAAGAGTAAAACAGTGATTTTACACATGGAAGTGTATTTAAGGCTTGGACTCTAAAATCACTTTGGAATGTTATTTCTCGAAAAAGCAATTCTAAAATGTAACTGGACATGTGACGTGTGAGTAGAATACATGTGTTAATGTTTACTGCTTAATGTTGATTTAGTCATGCACTTAAGGGTATTACTGGTGAGATTAGCAGAATAATGCATCATTCTGTTTTAAACTACATATGATATAACTAACCTTTCAACTTTATCATATCAAACAAGGCTGTTTCATCAAATTAAAAATGCATTATTGTTGTAAGGCACCAGTTTTTCCATGCATGTGTAAATACCACTTAAAAATGTATATTGATCTTATTCAGAAAGCCTGGTACCATTTACCTTCTTAATGCTCCTGGAAAAAAGCAACATCTTAAGGCAACCTGAGATGCCATGTTTAGCAAAGACAAAGCAGATATTGCTAAAAGTTATTTTTTAGGAATTATTGCTCATGTAAAACTATATTTAATGCATCAAATGTACCACTGCGCAAAACGTTTCATGCAAATGTTGACATATTCATCAAAATAGCTTTGTAGAATGGCTTTCCTGATAAGATTTAAAAATCAAACAAGCAAACAAACAAACAACCAACTTTTTTCTACATTAATATGTTGAAATAATAATTAACCATCAACACATATTTTCCTTCATTCAAGCTGAATGCTGTAGTATACTGTACTGATTGTTTTTGTCATGTGAGACTATGATAAAGTTGAAAGGTGTTGACCTAAAAAAAAGACGAAAAAAAAACTCATTCAGTCATTTCTGATGCAGGGTATGTGTTTGGAGAATGTATAGTTTGAGCTCAGATGGAATATTTCTTTTATTGCATGTCACATAGTACACAATCTGTTAAATCAAATCACTGTAAAATGTGTCATATTAACAAAACTAAGTTCAACTTAGCATTTTTGGAGGAATCATACACAAATAAAAATGATTTATAAAAACATTTCAGTGTTGTTTGTGGTTTGAGTTGTTTGGTATATTGAAGGCCACAACTTTGTTTAATACTACATAATTACAACAGTCTGCTCCTTTCATTTCCTTTCTGTTAATATGAGCCCAGCAAAATTTTGAATAGAATAGATTAACCTTGAATGGAATAGAATAAAATAGAACAGAATAGAATAGAATAGAATAGAATAATAAAATTAAAACACATACATACATACAAGAACAGATGCAGTCATACGCAAAAATTACATGTTGTGGTGATTTGAATTAAAATACATAAACATACTAAAATATGGTGCAAAATTATGACAGATTTAATATTGTTATTTAGTTTTTTGTTTTTTTTTTCTTACTGCTTTTTTTTTTAACTGAGCAAATATGTAGAAATTGTGCAACAAAATTAGCAGAAAAAAATGTATATTTAATTGTGTTCTCTGTAGAGGATTTGCTAACTTTTTTCACTTAGAAATTCAACTAAACACAATCTGACTGGGAGTTTTAAACTGGCGTACTACTGCACAAGCTTCAGATACACCAGTCATCAGAGAAAATTACATTCAAAATGACTACAATTAGATGTCATCAGATAAATATTCAGGTACACATCAGGTAAGTATTCATCAGAGTAAGTCACACATGGAATAAAAGAATTCCTGAGGTCTGAAGGCTTGAGGTGCCACACATAGCCTAGTTTTCCAAAAAGGTTCAATTCAACAAATAGAAGATGAATAATATTAAACACGATTTACTGGACTTTCTTCCTACTAAAACACAAATATATCTCTGATAGTTGTCTTTGTGTATACATGTGATTTTCCCAGCCTGTCATAACCCTAGACTAATTCTTCTTATTCTCAGCTTCAGGATTGCCAGACCAAGCAGATACACTGTATGCTAAAACACTCACAAAAAGACTCCAAATCTAAGGTTTCTCTACTAACTGTTCAGTTTCTCAACAAGTTCATGCTTTTTTATGGTCTTTATGGCCTTTTTAACAGATCTAATCAGAGATGGCTGTAAAACTCATTATGAGTAGAGAACCTAACTACTCAAACGTTTTATTACACACTTCTATAACCTAGGAATAGCTCAATCAGTTTGTATTGAAGTCCCTGCTGTTACTAAATAATAAGCCTTAGTATGTAATAAGCCTGGGATTTTAGAGGTTAAACTGGCTGATCATTAATATTTACCCTGTTTATGCAAATTGACATTGATAAATTTGATATTTCTTCAGAATTGCACTTAGCCCAGAGAGCGTATGTGTCCAATTTAATATATTTTTTTATGTTAATGGGTTAACAAGGATTTAGCCTGCAGTCTCATTATGAGTCTACTGGAATATGCAAATATATAAAACTTTGACTGCCCCCTTTACACACTCCTTTGAAATATGTTGAACACACAGGTATTTTTCTATATTGTCTAGGAGCTTTTCTCTTTTTTGGAGTACAACAATGATTCATTACATCCACCTGTGAAAGACAAATGTAATTTAACGATGCTCAAGGGTCTGGAAAACAAAAGAATAATATGCAGTCTTCACAAATCAAGTGCTTTCTACATAGATATTGAAGGACAAAAAGGGCTACTAGACAGGATTATTAACAAATTACATGTCAAAAGTGGTTTGTTTCAAAGCGAGCTACATAAATTGCACAAATACAGGACAAAAGACAAGTAGGTAGGAGGATGGGTGTTGATGTTGAAGGAGAAATGAAAAGATAAACACCTAAGGGACTGAGAGACGCTCTGACATCCACTAACCAGCGTCGTCCCCTTCAGGAGAAGAGGAAGTGACAGGCTCTTTGGAGAAATGGAAGGTGAAGTGGAAAAGACTGAGATGTAGCAGATGATAATGTTGTTATTTTCAAAATCAGAGCTGATTAAAAAGGTGAGAGTTTCTGTTCAGTCTTTGTTGGTTTGATATGCAGGCCTGTAATACAGGTGATCACAATGTGTACAGTGTTATAGAACAAAATAGTAGCTCCAAAATTGTAGCTTAATAGGAGAAACATTCTTAACTGTTAACATTAACGTTATCTTATCGACCATAACAAAGACATTTTGGACCATTTCTATTGGTTTCTTTCATCATGAAATGTCCACACACTGTTAAGGGGTCCTAACAGAAATACAAGTTTTTGGACAATTTCTACAGCATAATATTAAATGCACACTTTTTGAGCCCTTTTCTTGTCCTTACTGTCCAGTTTACATGTAATTTGTACACATGATTGCCTACTACATTATGCTTTCTGCTCTGGATGTCAAACTGGGCAGTATTGCAAAAGCATTTGCATTTGCATTTACATCTTCATCCTCATCTCTCCTCCGCCAATAAATAAGCTTGTATCTGGCTGACTGGTGCCTAGAAAGCAGGCTGATGTAAGACGACCCACTATTTGTTTTCCTCAAGCCAGAGATTCCATTTAGATTAGCACCAGAAGACCTTTATGAGAAAGATGAATTCTGTTATAGGAGAACAGGCTGAGCTATTCTTGCTTTACTTATATGAGATCACCACTTATCACAGCAGTCACATCCGTTTTGACCACCATCATGAGCTGAAACTGAGGCTGGTTTTTGGCTTTGCTATGCTTGAATATGAGGAAATACACAGTCTTAACAAAAAGGGTTCAATATAGCCCAAAAAAGGCTTGTTATAATAGCAGAACATCTTCCAGTGCTATAAAAAACCATTTTAAATGTTTTTAAAGAACTTAAATCAATGAGTTCCACATCTTGAGGATTATAAACAATAATATTGCCAGTCCTAAAGCAGTAAATGACCATCAGAACCTAGTGAAGGCCACTTTAACACAATTAGAATAGCATGAGAAGGACCATATTGGAACTGCAGAGAATGGTCCACTGTGTTT